TAGAGACGGGGTTTCACCATGTTGGTCAAGCTGGTCTTGAACTCCTGACCTCGGTGATCCACCTGCCTCGGCCTCTCCAAGTGCCGGGATTACAGGCTTGAGCCACCTCGCCCCGGCCTTCCTGTCTTTTAAAATCTCCGGATTAAAAATGGGTCCGATTATTGAATGGATCCTGATTACAATAATCGTACCCATTAAAACCCGAGAAATTTCCAAGCCTCCCTGTTGCCACCAAGTAGTCCCTTTCCATACCCGGCCCTCAGAATGTGCAGGAAGGTGAAAGAACAGTCTAGAAAGATGTTCGCTCAGCCTTGGGTTCCAGCTCAGAGAGTTTTAAAAAGCTGTGTGGGGTTTCCGCCTCTCTTTTCTAAATTTAACCTGGACACCCAGATCCTCTGCAGTGTCTCCCCTGGAAAGTTCTCGAGCGTTCCCTAGCTTTGGGGCCGCGCCCGCCCAGAGATCTGCCGAGTCATCGTCCTTGTCCCGCGGCCCGCAGCGGGGGATGGGGGCGGCCCCAGGGAGCCCCCGCGACGAGGCTGGGACTGAGGAAGGTTGAGGGGGGCTGAGCAAAGAAGCCCAGTCATCATCTCAAATGTGACCCAAAATAAAGACCTGTCCATCCCGCGGGGTGGGCTAGGGTAGGTCGCGCCGGAGGGCAGGCGCTCAGTTCGCGCCCCAAGTCCACCGAACACGAGTTGGCGACCCGAGGCGACCGCGGGGGCTGAGGGGAAGGGGTGCAGAGCCGCAGCTGAGGAACGCGGGCCGCCCACCGGCTCCAGGTGCTGCGGTTCCGCGCCGGGTTTTAGCGCCTCCCGTCGGCGCCCCCCCACCAACGGCGAGCGCCGCTACGTCACAATCACAGTGCGCAGCGAGAGCCTTGATCCCTCCGCCCGGCCTCTCAGGACGGCGGCCTGCTGCCCACCAGACTCGGCCCAGAACCCCAGTCTCAGCAGGAGAACATTTTAGGACGGGACCTGGGTGACGCTAGGTAACTGGTTTTCTTTCCAGAGAGCAGAACAGGCGGGGAAAAGTAGTCCCTTCTCGGCGATTCTGCGGAGGGATCTCCTCGGGGCGGTGAACGCCGGTGTCTATATAAGGACGCGCCGGGTGTGGTGCAGCTAGTTCCGTCGCAGCCGCGAGTGCAGCCGTTCCTGTTTTTCGTCAGTTGCTGTCATCTCCGCTTGGTGAGCAGTGGGGTTCTGAGCGGGCTGGGGCTTTCGTGGCCATTTGGCCTCGACGTGGGATGGTGGTGGGTCGCGGTCGCGGGTCGAGAGACTGCGGAGGGCTGTTGACTGTGTCCGCGAGAAAGGTGGCCCTGAGGTGGGGGGAACGCAGCAAAATGGCGGCTGTTTCGAGCGCCGAGTGGAGGACGCCTGTGAGGTGGGCTGTGAGGTCGTTGAAACAAGGTCGGGGGGCATGGATCCAAGGTCTTGAGGCCTTCCCTAATGCGGGAAAGCTCTGATTCTGGTGGGATGGGCTAGGGCACCGTTTGGGGATCCTGACGTGAAGTTTGTGATTGACTGGAGAAGTCGCCGTGTCTGTTGCGGGGATGGCAGTTAACGGCAGTGCCGCGCGGCAGTGCACCCGCACTGGGGGGAGAGCGCGCCTTCGCTCTGTGGTGACGTCACCCGTTTTGTCGGCTCATAATGCAGGGTGGGGCCACCTGCCGGTAGGTGTGCGGTAGGCTCTTCTCTGGCGCGGGACGCAGGGTTCGGGCCTAGGGTAGGACCTCCTGAATCGACAGGTGCCGGACCCCTGGAGAGGGAAGGATAAGCGATCCGTCAGCGTCTTTGGTCAGGTTTATGTACCTATCGTCCTCAGTAGTTGAAGTCTGGGTTTTGAAAACGGGCTGGCGAGTGTGTTTTGTGAAGTAAGGCAGGTTTTAAATTGTAATTATTTGGGTCAATGTGACATATAACTTACAGCATTAGGAAAGCTGATACATTGCTAAATTCTGGTGGTTTTTGGCTTCTTTGTTAAAACAGACAATGCAGATCTTCGTGAAGACACTGACCGGCAAGACCATCACCCTCGAGGTGGAGCCCAGTGACACCATTGAGAACGTCAAGGCAAAGATCCAGGACAAGGAAGGCATCCCTCCTGACCAGCAGAGGTTGATCTTTGCCGGAAAGCAGCTGGAAGATGGGCGCACCCTGTCTGACTACAACATCCAAAAAGAGTCCACCCTTCACCTGGTCCTCCGTCTCCGAGGGGGAATGCAGATCTTCGTGAAGACCCTGACCGGTAAGACCATCACCCTTGAGGTGGAGCCCAGTGACACCATTGAGAACGTCAAGGCCAAGATCCAAGACAAGGAAGGCATCCCTCCTGACCAGCAGAGATTGATCTTTGCTGGGAAACAGCTGGAAGATGGGCGCACCCTATCTGACTACAACATCCAGAAGGAGTCCACTCTGCACTTGGTCCTGCGCTTGAGGGGGGGTGTCTAAGTTTCCCTCCCCTTTAAGGTTTCAACAAATCTCATTGCACTTTTCTTTCAATAAAGTTGTTGCATTCCCAATTGGTGTGGGTTTTTTTTAAGTTAAGGTATTTTTGCATTAGACTGGGTGGAGGGGATCAAGGTTTTCAGTTCACAAATGTTCCTGTGGTAACCATGAAATGTCAGTGAATGGGGGGAGGTAGATTTACAGTATTAACTGTAGAAAGTGGGTGCAAATAAAACCCAGGTTCAAGACCAGCTTGGCCAACATGGTGAAACCCCAGCTCTACTAAAAATACAAGAAGGGGTGGCGGGTGCTTGTAATCCCAGCTACACTGGAGGCTGAGGCAGGAGAATCCCTTGAACCCAGGAGGCAGAGATTGGCAGTGATTTGAGATCACAGCACTGTACTCCCAACTGGGGGGACAGAGCAAGACTGTCTTAATAAGGTTACTGGGAAGATACTTTTCAAGTTACTTTACAAATACTGGTGTGGGGGGGGTGTGAGGTAACAGAATGGGAGAATTAGTTGAACACCAGGAAGGTGGAAGGAATATTAAAAGGTGAGAGTGGTGAGAGTACCTGTGAAAGTGCTTTAGGTACATAGGCCGACATAAATGCATGCTGAGCTGCATAGACAGTCATGGCATCAAGTGATTTTAAAAGGATGTGGTAGGTAGAAAAAGCCATAGTTGTCAAGGTGTAGAATTAGTGGTTAAGAGGATAAAAGCTATTCCTTCAAGCAGTTTTTTGCTGAAATTGTCAAGTAGGATGGACTGCATGTAACTAATGGGTGAAGCAGTTGACCTGGGTTTGTCTCAAGTGTATAGTAGCATTCACCAATCAGACGGTACTATTAAGGTGTTAATGTTGACTAACACCAAAGGTAGAAATTGCAGGGAAACTGGTTTAATACAAGGGATGGACGCCAGGCAGCAGGCACCGCAGAGGTCATCCAGAGGCTCATTAGAGGCCTTGGAAGGTTTTTCCCAAGGAGCATCCCTCTTCCCAAGTTTCAGGGGATTCATGAACAATGTCTGCTCTGGAAGAATTCCGTGTTGGCTCCAGCAATTGTAAAGCACCTAAGGGTGGCTTAAACTAGTTTTAGATTTAGTTTTAGGGATAATGGACTAAAATTTGAGAAATCCGTGAATCCATTGAGTTTTCATTGTGAGTACATCTAATGCATAATAATTTCCATGACTTCCATGCAAGTGAGCGTGAGTCAGGTAACGTGACAAGCCAACAAAACCACTGCTATCCGGGCTGTCATTTCCGGTTAGTATGCGAGTCTATGTAATTTTAGTGCCTATTAAAATCTGGGTGACCTTTGTGTAAGGAAAAATTACCTTGAATAGTGTCTTCAAGATGTATGCTTGGTGTCAGGCATTGCAGGGTTCATAAATCAGTGACAAGTGCTTTTTGGAAACTTCAAAGCTACATCAAGTCAAGTGCAAGAAAGGCCGTGGCTGCTGACGATGTGGGATGTGGGAACTGGGTCATATTGGTGTTAACAGCATTGTGCAGAGCCAGCAGAATCTTGGCATGAGAGAGCGTTAGTCTATTTATTAAAGCTGTGTGAGTGTTGTAGAGGCAAGGACGTTCACTTAAAAACTCACTGAAGAACACTCGGCCCCTCGAACAACTAAAGTGCTTCCTATCAAGTTCAATGAGAAATTGTGAATTACAAGCATAGGTACTAGAAAAATTTTGAAAAGCAGTACAGAGCAACACAAGCATATTCATAAAACTAGTGATGTAGAAAGTGAAATGTCCATATATGGTCACTCGGGAAAAAATATTTATCTTTTTCAAAAATAGGAGATTTCAGGGTGGGCGTAGTGGCTCATGCCTGTAATCCCAGCACTTTGGGAGCCTGAGGTGGGCAGATCGCCTGAGGTTCCAAATTAAAGGGAGTTTGAGATCAGCCTGACCAATATGGCGAAACCCTGTCTCTACTAAATATACAAAAATTAGCTGGGCATGGTGGTGGGCACCTGTAATCCCAGTTACTCCGGAGGCTGAGGCAGGAGAATCGCTTGAACCCGGAGGTTGGAGGTTGCAGCGAGCAGAGATTGTGCCACTGCATTGCAGCCTGGACGACAGCAAGACTGTCTTAAAAAAATAGGGGATTTTGCTTGTTGCCTAGGTTAGTCTCAAACTCCTGGCCTCACACCAGGTCTCTTACTGTTTGGAATTACAATGCATACTTAAATACACATTTTGTATATGTGGGTGCAGGTTTATAAAATAAAGGTGATAGTAATCTAAGTTCCTACTCAATTTTACTTTCCAGGAATAACTACTTTTTAGAGGTTGATATTCTTTTGGACTTTATGTAAAAATATACCATATTTATTATGTACATATGTATGTACATACAGACACAAATTGGACCATTCTAGTATGATGATTCTCAAGATTTTTTTTGAAAGAGGAAGCTAGGTAATTATGGATATTTTTCCACACTAGTGTATCTAGAGCTACCTCATTCTTTTTAATAGTCTTGCTAGTATTCCATTGTCTGGAGGCCCTATGATTTACTTAGCCTGTCCACCTATATTTGTTTCCAGGTTTTTGCTTTTATAATGCTGCTGCAAAGTACATCCTCACACATCTTCATTTTGTCTGTTAGTTTTGTAAGATAGGTTATATAAAGTTGAAACTGCCAAATTAAAGTGATCACACTATCATGCTATTTTGTTTTCCAATTTTGATTTTTTAAAAATACAAAATGTGGGATTTTGAGAGGAGAAACTTGAAGACGAGGAGCAAAATCTATTTTTATGACATCCTATTAAAAGCCTGCTTTACATAAAGGTTGTGAAAGAATAGCATAAATACAAGATTTGTATGTTAATTAGGTTCTTAGGGCTAATAAAATAATCAGCCTTAGCACTATTTTTTATAATTCATGATGATTATTGTCCCATGATATTTCTCAATTTTTAAATTAAAAAATCCTTAATGTGCATATTTTTGAATTGTTAATATAAATTTTGAGGTGATGTCTTCATATGTGTTTCAACTACTTAAAAACTTTTAAACAGTATATAATAAAAAATCTTCTGGGCCAGACACAGTGACTCATACCTGTAATCCCAGCACTTTGGGAGGCCGAGGTGGGGAGATCACCTGAAGTCAGGAGTTTGAGACCAGCCTAGCCAACATATGTGTGTATATATATATATGGTGGAACCTTGTTTCTACTACAAATACAAAACTTAGCTGGGTGTGGTGATGCACACCTGCAGTCTAAGCTACTCGGGAGGCTGAGACAGGAGAATGAGGTGGAGGTTACAATGGGCTGAGATTGTGCCACTGCGTTCCAGCCTGGGTGACAGAGAGAGACCCCATCTCCAAAGAAAAAAAAATCTTCCATCCTTATCTCCTATCCACCCTTTCCCCTACCACTTCCCCCCAGCATGTACTTTCAGACTTTATACATATACAATGAGTACTATAATTATATATATATATATATATACACATATACATATATAGATAATTCCCCTTCACACGAAAGGTAGCACACTGGTCTGTACAGTCTGTCCTGCACTGTGCTATTATAGTTTTGACAGAGTTCTAACTTTTTTTTCTTTGATAACAGTCTTGTTCACCCAGGCTATAGAGGAGTGGCATAATCATTGTTCATTGCAGCCTTGCCCTCCTGGGCTCAAGAAACCTCCTGTCTTGGCCTCCCAAAGTGCTGAGATTACAGGCCTGAGTCACTGAACCCAGCCAGCCTGCCTTTCATTTTGTATAAAGAAAAAAGACCTTTTGTGTAATTTCCTCAAGAGTAAAGAAAACCAAGAGAGCAACACAATTTCTAGTGAACATTTGGAGGGCCCTTCATCTAATAAATACAAGCATGTCAGGAACTATAGCGACACAACAACGACTGGGCGATGCTCCTGCCACCATGGCATCCTCAGTCTAGTTAAACCACAGAGATGTTAGACTAGTACAGTTTCACGGGATAATTGTTAAATCTTTTAAAAAAATTATTTTTTTAAAATTAGGCAACACTTTATTCCATAAAAGAGAGTTAAGTGTTCTCAATTGTTAAATTTTAAAGCATCCCAAAGTTTGTTTTCACACTCGAATGAATACTATGTGAGGATTCACTTACATAGATGTGGTTGCATGAGTCTTTTCTTTTTTTTTCCCATTTATTTTATTGCATTTTAGGTTTTGGGGTACATGTGAAGAACATGCAAGATTGTTGCATAGGTACACACGTGGCAGTGTGATTTGCTGCCTTCCTCCCTATCACCTAATCTGACATGAGTCTTAAGAAAAAAATAAGGCCGGGCGCGGTGGCTCAAGCCTGTAATCCCAGCACTGTGGGAGGCCAAGGCGGGTGGATCACGAGGTCAAGAGATCGAGACCATCCTGGTCAACATGGTGAAACCCCGTCTCTACTAAAAATACAAAAAATTAGCTGGGCATGGTGGCGCGTGCCT